AAAGAGATGGGGGTGTGTGGGTGTGTGTGTGATATTAAGTAATTCCTTGCTAGGTGGCTTTTCTTTTTGATGATAACAAGGGAAGATTAATAACTTATTTCATAGGTAACAACCAGCAAGAGCAGGAAATAGGGGTACAAGTTTATCCTGGTACATTTTGCTTTGCTTATTCCTGCATCATTGCCCATGACTTGCAAAATATGCTTTTTATCATTCAGAGATAAACAATCAATAAAATAAGCTAGAGAAATGAAGCACAAAACAAAACATCCAAATCAAATASAAAGGGAATTCAGTTATTAATCATTTGCTAATCCTAATGCTAATCATTAGATATTCTATTTTATGCTACTCCTTGAAAACAAATGAAGTGTACAGATACATATATATATAAATATATACGTTCAACACACAAATATTTGAATTTAACACTGTCAGTGGATCAGTGTTTCTGTGCACCATCTCTGTACAAATCTTACTTCAGCTCTTTTGTCTCTTGCTTGTACAGGAGAAACTGAAGATGGAAGAGACACAAAGATACCTACAGTAAACCAAAATTGTTCCCAGTAGTACAATATATTCTTAACTGCTGTCTACCATAGTGTTAAATTATTTGTATGATGACAATTTCATAAATTCCTGGACACATAAAATGGAGATATCACAATTTTCAATGAATATTAAACACAACTATAAAGTATTTTTCCATAAATATCTCATTATCAAAATACAGTTTAAGTTTTGTGTCCAATTAACCAATCTAACAATTTCATGCAGATTAAAGCTATTACATAAAAGAGCTGCAAATGAGCAAAGCAATTTTTAATTTGTTTATATTTGTGAAGGTTTGCTATTCTAAGGAACACATTAGTGGTCCAGCTAGCTGGAACAATACAGTAAGAGCATATACTGTTCCAATGATAGTCAGCATACTTCAGTTACTTATTTAATGTGGTTAAGGTAATTACAGAAGTAATTTTCTTCTAGCTCTTTTTTAGCCACTCCATTGTCTSTGCTGTCTTTTTACATATAAAGGTCATATATGTTGACTTGAGAATGTATGATTAAATATGCAAAATTGTTAAGAAACTTATGATTGCAATTTCAGAGAAATAGAAGTTTAAAGCAAATTCTTAAAAYATCACTATTACAAGTAATGTCAAGCTGTCCATCTCTCTGAAGATYTGTAGTGTGGAGAAAAGTAATATCCAAACCAAAAGAATCCTTTGTTGTAGTACTGCATGCCAACTGGAGAGACAAAGTCTCAGAACCAGAATAATATAAGAACAAACAGTAGATGACCCTGAGAAGTGGAATAATGAAAAATGAGAAAATTCAAAGAAATTCAAAGTGAGTTCGAAACTTAGAGTGTTAAAACCAAAATAATATAGTGTAAATTCTGAGGTAAGAGCTAGGAAGCATCTTAAGGAAAGAATAAGGACGGAAGGTCCCGGTATGCTAAAAGTGATCAGTGTTAAAACATATGAATACTATAGAAGTGTTATGCAGAGGTTTATACACAGGAGAATATTACTGCTGCCTATAAAAATCATGAGGAAAGTAAATAAAGTAAGGAAGAGAAGCAGTTAAGCTGCAAGGTAATAAGCCAATGCATCTTAAAAATGCTGGCATGAAACAGCCAGAAGTAAACCTAAGCCAGAAATAAGAAAGTTCATAAAGACTGCAATATTTTGGCCAAGGAGCAAGAGAAGCAGGGAAACTTTACAGAATGCAAATGCACAACACAGGTCAAATTCTTTAGAAAAAGAACAGTATGGGTACATGTCTCTGACAGTACAGTCTGGATTTGTCAGATTGAAGCTTGTACTCTTTCCATGGAACAGAAACAAAAGGTGGGAAAGTGGTAGGATTGGGGGACAGTGCTTTGTCTCTACTAGAGCATCAACAGAAGCCAAGGTAATGTGTCTGTAATACATGTTAAATGCACAGCTTCCTCTCTTGSCTTATTACAACAAAAATGGCATGATTTTCTGTTCACATAATTTTYCACTGCTGCCCACTCACAGGTTAAAACTGGATCCCTTTCTTCTTAAGCTGAAGTAACACAAYRGAAGAAGAATTTCAAAGTGRTTTCTGTTCRCAAAARTACATGTTTCTTTGATTTCCCCTCYCCCCAATTTMTTTATTTCTTGCTGAGGCATGAARGATGCTGCAGARCATGTGCCTGAAATTCCAGAAGTGAACAGGCAGAAAGGCAACAGCAGCTCAAGGTGCACCAGCAGTCATAAGCTTGTGTAGATTTTTAAGTGCAGTCAGATTTAAAAATCRTCAGTCCAACAGGACTCATCAGCAATCTTAGTCTCTTTAGAGAAGAATAAATTTGCACAATCTTGCTGAATGGCATAGTAAAGAACATGGTGTTGAAAAACCAAAAATTTTGTTGTTAGAAAAACTATTTACGTTGCTGAAGCATTTTTCTTTAGGAATCAGAATCAGATAATTTCTTTAAGTTCTCAATAACTWGTACCAGCTGTAAACAACCTTGAGGAGGATTTTCTGTAGTAGAATTAGTTCATCTTCACTTTAAAACCAGAGGGTCCACTCACATTTTCATATTCCAGAATAAATGTGTTTGAATGGCTTAACAAGTGGTCAGCTACAGGTGATTTCAAAGAACTTTTTCAAATGTCTCTCAGGTGCACAGGGCACTGTTATTTAGAATAAAAAATATTCAGAATATCATTGCTGATTGCATAAAACAAACATGGAGAGAAGCTTAAACTTCCCACAGGAGTCTATAGGAGTTGAATGCTTTTGTCATTGCTAAAACTTGTGAAGTCCAAAACCCCAAACTGTCACARTGGTTTTTGTTTATCTAGCTGCACTGCCTTGTTTTTCCCAGCTTTCAATTCAGTATAACTACAAATACTGAATCAAGACGCAACAGAATTCAAAACTAGCCATTAAAACTAAAGATTGAGCTTTGTATTTGACACCTTCCACAATGGCATACAACTGTGATTCATAATGCTTTAAATTGTTTTCACTGAAAGAGGAGTACAAGGCGTATTATTCTCTATTCCTTTCCCTAATATTTTAATAGCCTGGTCTTTCAATACTCCAAACTTTGCTCTTCAGCTCATGTTGCAAATTTTATAAGGACTGCAGGTTATGAACTACGGATACTCTGACCTTTCTTCCTACCTACTGGGACTGGACTACTATTGTTAGCTGTTCCTCACCAGCTTTTCTTGAGGACTTTTTAGGTCTGCCCTGAAATAATTCAAAAGTTGCTCCTGCCTTTTCTGTCCTTCCTAAACAGTTTTTAGTTATTAGTTGTAGCTAGGGAGCCTGTTAGTCTGGTTTTCACAGGCTAACTTCTCCTGCTAATGTAGTAAGGGTCAGCAAGATTCATTAACATGTAAGACAACTTGCTAAAACCATTTTATAGCCTGCTTCTAGATTTTTTTTCTTTTATTATTGTATAGCCATTGATCAAGAGCAAAATTCTAGTGGAAAATCAATAGCTGGAACAGTTTCTACATTTTCAAATACAAAGGCACAATTAATAATTTAATAATTAGACATGTAGGATATGCATGGTTGCACTGAAATKTTTAAAGAAAAGAAGAGCATGAATATTGAATAGAGAAAGTAACAGCTTTGACATCAGCTTCAGCAATGACAAGGTATTCACAAAGCAAAGAAGAGAAACCATGTAATTTCTCTTGCCTATCCATAACTCCTTCTTGTCATGAGCCTACCACTCCTTCATCAGAGATTCTGGCACAAGCAATCAAACATGCATTCAGTTGTACAATGGACTGACCCAACTTTTGCATCACAGATATAAATGCATCTTATTCCTGTCATTATAGTTTATCAGCTCAGTGACCTCTAAAGGCAGAAAAATCCATTTCTTTCCTTTCAGGCATGTCGTTCTGTTTCTGTTTAGGAGCCTTTGTATGCTTCTCCYAATACATCTCTCACCCACGTTTATYGCTWTCTCTCAGTCCTCCCTTAGCACGTTTTCCCACCCTCCCCCCAGGATGTATTTCTGGCAGCTGGGTTCTCTCCTACACAGGTCATCTCTCCTCCTGCTGTGAAACAGCAAGCCAACCACATAGAYACAAATGAGGGTACATTGAAAGAAAATAGTGCCATTTGCTATTAAAAACTTCAAACACCTCCACCACAAGCAAACAGATTCTGATGCCTTTAATTTAGTGACCCATACTTTCACAGATGTACMTAAACCAGTACTAAAGGCAGTGCTATTAGAGAAAAATAGTCTCCCTACTTTAAAGTTTGCAAGATTCTAATCTGATTAAAAATTTTTCACCATAATAATGCCTACACAATGATTCTTAAATATTTAAGAGTGAGACACTATTCCAGAACATTGTAGAAACAAAACAAAATGTGATCTTAAAAATATTCTCCTCATTAAACAAAAGATTTCCACAGTCTGAACCTTTTCAGAAAGCTTGACTGTTCTTTTGTCTATAACATAGAAATATATGTTATATAATACTTCATATTCTTTCAGTGGTAGAGAAGTAGTTGAGGACAATATAGATAAATAGAGTTTAAAGAGTTTCCATCTGCTTTTCTCATCGCTAAAGTAAACAGCATGAAAGTGTACCAAAGGTGCCAATACTTTGAATTCTTGTATTCTTCTTCTCATTGGAGAGGTAAGTTAGGAAACGCTTTTCTAAAGCCAATCATTTTATATGTGTAAAGTTTAAGCTATTTCCTTCTAATTCATCATTTCATTTGGAGGAAGTGAATTCACCTCTATGTCTGCTCACAGGTGAAACTTTGGGAACACAGATCCCCTACCACTTAACATTGCTATACATCTCCTGTACATACATCCACCCAGATTAATTTCCTTCTCTCTTCGCCATTTTTTGACAACTTTACARATCTGACCACTTTTTAAACTGCAGTTTTCCCACCACATATTAACTACAAGGGACAAATCTTTTTTTTCATTACAGGAATTTTCATTTTAACATCAGACTTTGAATTCTTACCGTGGTCTGTAAGTTCAGACGTGCAGAGTTCACTTGTCTCATTTCCCATGGACGCATAGTTGCATGTAGGGACGGGCTGAGAATGMATGAGGTGTTTTGAAGTCTGCTCATCAGATTCCTTGGTCAAATGATGGAACAGCATGGAGAAACAGGAACCRTTGGAGCTTTCAGCAGAATCACCACACAGTGGTTTCCTGATCTACACAATTCYTGGGACTTGTATTAGGCAATACTAAAATAAAATCCTAACATTTTTGTAAATGATCAGTAGTGACCCAGCCATAAGCAGAAGCAGGTTTAATTTTTTTTTTCCTCTAGACACAATGGGAAATAGAAACCAGAAGATATGCAAAAGAAAAGATAGAATAAAAAGCACACAAAAAATTATTTCTGTGATGCATTCATCAGCTATTTCCAAACTGACCCTTTCTTTCTACAATAAGATGTGGTGCTAGAATTGAACTGGCCTATCTTCTGTTGCAGATAGCTTAAAAGCAATGGACAATTTATTCTGGGAGTCGTTCCAAGGTTTCTTTCTTACTAAAAAGCCAATTGAAGTGTTAATATTCTTAATAAATTAAAAGAACTCAAATACAGGTGCTTAAAGGATTACAATCCTAAACATCTTGAAAACGAATGTATTTTGAATTCAATGTCATATAGTCAATAAAAACATTTCAGAGACCAGMTTTAGATTTAAGGGTAAATTAAGAAAGGGTAACTCAAGAAAATAAAACTGTGCAATGAATAGAGAGGTTGTTGAATTGTATCTGAGTAATAGAATGTACTTTGCCTCATCACAGAGCAGGTTCAGCTAAGCAGTCCAGACTTCAATGCATTTCCCAATTATTATTATTCTCAGAACAGGCCTGTGCCTGTTAATGGAACAGAAACCACATGGGAAACAAAAAAGTGTTGTACACTGGGTGCACATAAATGAGACCTCCAAAACAACAGCCCATACTTACATGTATGACATTGACATTCAGCTGCTGAAAATTACGGGACCTGAATTCTTGCATTCTTTTGATATTTKCTTGATATTTTTCTTCTGCCAGCTGTCTGTAAGTACAGAACACTTGTATTTAGGATGTGATATCAGGACGTGCACAAAGGGATCTTCTAAAAGCAGATGTGGAAAAACAAATTCCATAATGAGACTTCCCTGTTGCTAAATATTCATGTCATCTACTCGTGTTTTAATGAAGACAAAAAGAGATTTCAGACCTTATTTCCAAACACCATTATAAATTACTTTTACCACTTGCATAACATAATTAAGACATAGTAAATTATTAGTCACTGTCTTTTCTACTTCATCCAAGGATTTTAAATGCTTTAGGTTTTATTACACCATGTAGTGCAGGGACCTTTCAGCCGCAGACACGCATGCAACATTTGTGAGCTATGAACTCTTCATCTGGGGGACAGTTGGTAACTGTGATTTTCTGTGTGGAACCACTTCAGATGAATGCTACATTAAGCAGTTTTGCCAGCTTCCATTACTATACTCCCTTCCCATCCRTCTCTAGATTTGCAGTGCTGGAAGCAGATCTCCAGTCTGAGAAGGTGCTGGTTTTGYATTGTTTCAAACATTTTCAGCCAGAGTCATCTGACAATGATCTAGAGCTCAATGTAAATCCATTTTAAAGATTCATGACTGAGAATGAGGTCTGAATATTAATGTTGCCTTCATATTACAAAACAAATATATTTCATTTTGTTGTTGGGGGTAAGAAAAAACATGACAATCTCAACAGAAAACATCAAAACACAAGAAAGTAATGAAAATGAAAACCAAATTGAACTATCCTGCAATTACCATTATTTCCTAATCTCCATTCAGTTTTAGAAAGTGAAAGAAGTCATATAAATAAATCTCATATTAGTAMAAAAATTGGCCTACTATATTACTGAAAACACCACACAGAAGAAGTGATAAATGTAATACATTTTGTACAGTGGTTTCAGTTTGAGAGGGTTTTCTAAAATGAGAATAAATTTATGTGTCAAATGCCAGTCAGACACAAGTGGTCTTCAGACATATTTTCCAAAAGGACATGAAGGTCTTAGTTCTTTGTTTCAAAWGTGTCATTAAAAGAGTATATTCTGGTTTTCAATAAAAAAATCCAAACAAACACTGCCTTCCAATTTTTTCTCATAATCCATTAGAAACTGTACTTAATCTCCTTCAAAACATTTTATTAYGTTTCACTCAATAAAAAAACAATATATCATAAAACTTTTACAACACATCCATTGCCTGTGTTTGATCCTCTGATAAGACTATCCTCTATTAACTTATACTGGAAAACCTCTGAGGCCAAAACAATTGGCAAAAACTGGATTGTAACTGAATGTCTGACTCCTCAGACTGTGCAGTTTTTAATATAACCAATCATTTTTAAAGAGTCTCCTATTGTAACACATCTGAAAATCTCTCATATACTTATTTAACCAGAAACACAGTACTCAGAGCACCAGTTTTTGGGCTAGTGTTCTCAGCTTTTTCCTACATAAATAATTAGCATGATTTATTGTCATCTAAAATTCTCATGCACTTTGAGTAGCTGAAGACCAGTTCTATTTTATTTCTACCTTGACAATTCTAACTCATTCAKTAGACCATTGGGTGGGGAAAATTGCATGGTTAGGGAGAAACTTACTTCAACTTCTTTTCTTTCTCGTCTGCAGCATTTAACTTCCTCAGCCGCATTCGTTCCCGCGGTGTCATYTTCTGTACTTCAGACAGCTCCTGCAGAGTTTGTAAATGAACTTTTTTCTGCCTGAAATTGAATGCATGCAAACCCATCTTCATACAAAAATGTAAATATTCAGTATTTTGACTATATATTGAAACACAGTGACATTTCAAATGGAATAATTAGAAAGTCTCTAGAACAATARCAGACTAAATAGACTTTAGTTTGGAAAGCAAATGACTCTTTTAAATTGAAACATGGATTTGTTCAGAATGTGAATCATTTCAGGTGAAGGTGGAAAAAGGTAGATTCATCTCCTTAAAAGATAAATATTGAAGCACAGTGAAATATTTACCCTGTCAGGYCTCATTATTGGGCATAKTCCAAGYACAAAGTCTGTCTTTAAATGAGAGCCACAGTAGYGCTCATACATTTTACATTTATTGTTACTATCTGTCTAGAATAAAAGAGAATATTTWTGTATCTTTAATGACAGATATAATTATCATGTTGTCCTCTTGAATTTCTGGTCCTAATCAATAATAACAGTTCACACATAAAATGGTCTCCATAGGTCATCTCTGAAAGCTGAGCATGAATTATTGACTTATATATTTCAGCTGTATTTATCAACAGAGGAGAGCAATATTAGTCCTTTATCAGAAAAAGGATACTAATCTCAGATTTTTGTCTCACATCCTATCATAATTATAAGAAAAATGAAACCATAGTTTGAAAYGCCTTGGCAGTCACCTTTCACTATACTATATATATTCACTTATATAACATGTTTGTTATACCAAGTATTCATTTCAAATTACTATTTTTGTTCTTATGAGATAAATCTACTTCTGATAATCTAAGAGCCCAGGTTTGTAACCATACAAATTGCAACAATCATTTTGAAATGACTGAATCTGGACAATCATTTTGAAATCAGGATTTTAATAAATGAGCAGAGAAGATTTCATTATGTTTTCCAAATAGTGCAAAGATATGAAYATTATTGTGAAATATGAAAGATTAAGGACAAAGACAAGAAGAGTTCAATTATTCATAAGAATGGAACTAACTCTTCAAGTATGAATAATGTAGACATATTTCTTGTCTCCTGTAAAAAACTCTAATTTAAATTAAAATAATCTCATGGRAGAAAAAGCAATTTTTCATTCAAGTTGAAACTGAACTTGTACAGCCTTAACTTAAATATTTAAAATTTATTACTTGAATAGAAATGAATTAAAGTAAGACATAAGCAGCCTTTACTAGAAGAAACTAGACYCMACCTTTTTGCTTTACATGTCATAAAGAATTCTAGTGAGGAAAAAAGCAAACATAAAGTAGCAACAGTTGAGGAAAACACCCTAGCAAGCAAGTGTTTRTAAGCTCAATGAGACTGGAGTAATKCTTCATTACAGCAATGRAAATGTGGTAAATGTTTTTCTTTCTCCTCCCTTTTTCTGCTGTCTGCCATTTTTGGGGTATTCTTAGTTCATTTTACCTGCCTCTCTAGATCTGGGATTGCAGAAATTATTTGGCATTTTGCTTACTAGTAATAATAGAGGCAGCTAATATTCTCATAAATACAATGAGAGTCATGACAAGATTATGAATTCTTGTGCATTCCAMACACTCAGGAAAAAATAATCAGACTGCAGCCATTCATTGCTTCACAATTTATAGAAACTCCAAACCTCTGCAGGGAAGCAAACTTCCCATTTCCTTTTAACAATAGTATAAGGACACTATGTTTGCAGTTAGTTTGATCTTCCTCTTATAGACTAAARACTTACTTTTGAAAAGGTATAGCTACAGATTCTGGGATATACACAAATGTCCTTCCCACATGCTGTATCTGTCAAAAAATGATGTCCATTTGGAAGGCAATGAGACTCAATATATTCAAGCTAATGACAATGGACCAGATCACAGTACATATTTTACAAAAAAATACAAACTAGTTTTATCAGTCTGTTCTAGAAGCAGGGTATACTTGAAGTCCGGATATATATTCTATAAGTAACAATACTGCTTCCCCAAAGCAGATGCAATGGTTTTGGTGCATATAGATGATCTGAAATCTCGTGCTCACAAGATRAAGTCAAGAATTAACAAGATTAATTACTGAATATAATTCAGATAGAGTTGGCATAATATCTGGGCAAGATTTCAGTGTCCCAAAACTATTTACAGTATATCTCTAAGTATTTCTGTATTTAACTGTATTTAATTTGAAAAGTCAGGAATCCTCTCMAAGTTAATTGAATTAACTTAGATATGTATATTTATTGTTTCATTTTACATCAAGGCTTACAAATTTCAATGAACTATTTATACTAACAGTACCTATTCATACCAAAAYGGAAAACTTTGTCTCATAAAAAGACAGAGGGTCATCTGTCAACAAGAGACACCAAGGAGAGAAGTGACAAGGTAGAAAAACAAAACATAATTTGTAGAGATGAGAGCCTACAGATACACTAACATCAGTTAGACTGAGTAAAGTGATATATAAAATTTTTTGTTGTGTGAAATTCAACTGTCTGTACTCTRCTTTCTTCCTACCACTGATAGCAAATTTTGCTTTGTTTGGAAAATCTGATCACCACTCCTGAAGGGATGCTTGCAAGCAGCAAAATTGGCAGCATCTGTAAAGTGATCAAATCTGCAAAACTGTGGGTCCTGTAGGAGAGCAGAGGTCACAAAAAACAAAGGTGAAAGTCCTATTGCCTCAAAGGCACTTCCAATACTGGATTGCTCTAGCTTTCATTGTTGTTACCTAATAATTCAAAAGAAATATCAGAGAGCTGGTAAAGTCTTGACAGTTATCTAGGGGAAATAAGAAACACAGAYGTTCATTGCTTCCTCACAGGATCACAAACTTCTGATTTTGAGCTTGCTACTTCTTAACAGAACAAAATCTATACAGAATAGTCAGGGATGGGGAGCAAAGGGAGGGCGAGTTGCAAATGAAACTGCAAAGCTAATTTACAAAGGCAAAATTAAATTGCCCATACTGGCATTTGTTTTAAACATTGCAACATTGTAATTTAATGCAATTAATTAATTTTATTTCTATTCAGTGCCTAAGAGAGAGATTATGTGTGAAGACACTGCTGAGATCAGTGAGCGAAGAAATATCTCTACCCTTGATTTCTCACTGTAGTTACAAGATAAAAATAACAGTATCCTCTGGAGGTATTAGATGAATATTAGTTGAAGTGTATATGCTTTTGGTTTGGTGTCATTTAGGAAGCATAGCTTTCATATTCAGTTTTTAGTAGGTRCAGAAACAGCAGCACTATAAATGATGATGATCTAACTAAAATGACAGCTCAAACCTTCAAAATTTAAAGACAAAGGTCATGATTTACATACAAATTGGTACTAAACTAACATAAACATATACTGCACGTGCATGTGCAATTTACACAGTCACATAATAAAAATACTTCATTTGAAAATCCTTTTTTACTCCCTTAATCTTAATTATGCATGTCCCTAATACATAGGTTCTCTTTTGTATTTCTGGGGAATAGGTTTGTCTAAACATAAAGTACTATGAGATTGACACAAATTTTAATGACATTATTTAGCAACACTGTAATTTCATATAGTACTGCCCATAGGACTTTGAAAAAATACTTACACAGCACCAAAAWTGGGAGCAGTTTCTTTCTGCCAGTTAAGTGCCTTGTCTTTCACAGTCATGTTTGTGAACTTGTACTGCATTTTCTGCAAGGCAATAAAATAAAAGGGGTATTACACTTGATGCTAAAGTTACCCAGAATCTGCAGCTAAGACCCAATACCATCCTAATGTAAAACCTGACTGAGTTTTCTTCCCCACCTTCTCAGAAAGYCAAATAATACAGGCATTGAAACCTGGGCAAAATGAGCAAAAGGCATTGCTTTTCCTTAAAACTTTGGCAAATTAAAACAGTTTATAGATATATGTACCCAGGCCCAAGTGATCTACACTTATTATGCATAAATGTCTRTTTTTCTTATTGCTTATAACATTTAAGAGGAGATAGATTCAGCATCTCAAGGGATGAGGGCTTCATTCCTCTGTCGTATTTGTACTATAGCTCTAAAAGTCCCCTGGATTAATGTTCCCATGAAMAGCTGTCAAATTTATCTTTTCTCACCATGTTTTCCCTGCCTCCATTTTGCTTTTGCAAGATACATACTCGAATGGGAAGTGTACCACTACCTCTTTTTATTACATACCTTTAGTTGTTCTTCAATATAAGGGGATTTTAGGATCTCTGCTGCTGATGGTCTCAATGAAGGATTCTTATTTAACATGCTGAAAGATTTAAAGCCAAAAGTAATAATTAAGCAATTGTCCAAACTAACTGAAAAACCTACTAAACAAGAAAATAACATACCTGCATAGCACAGCATTCAGTTTGCTTGGATATCTATCAGGAAGAGAAGGTGTTTCACCCTCCACAATTTTTAACACAACAGACAAAAAATTCTGTCCAGTAAATGCATGATTCATACAACACATCTCATACAAGATGCATCCCAGAGACCTCGAAGAATAAACAAATAGGAATAATATGAACAATACTTTTGAAAGTAGCATGCATAGAGACATTACAGTAAGTATAATCACAATTGTATGYCCTTTTCTCTGAGAAGGATGTTTCACTGTTGTGGTGTCCTTTCCATCTAAAATATTTTTATGTAGTTCACAAATTAATACATTTATAAACAGGATAAATCATCATTCTATTTTCATAAGTATAGGAACGAACTTGGATTCTTGAATATATATATATATATATATATATATATACATAAATACATATAATCATATATAAATGTACAGTAAAACCCAATTATATTAACTACTTTAGATTATTACTCATTAATTGAGGAATAAAAATGTTTAATTGGTGACTGACTGAGAAAACAATTTTGTAGTGTTTGGACATAGGTTTGGTTACATTTGTTTTGCAAATTAATTTATGACAACAAACTCAGGCTAAAATTCAATTAGAATTAAATAATGATATGTTCAAATAACAGAAGTGTCTTCTGGTGTATTTTCACTCATTTGGCCATATACTCAAATGATGAAATGAATTTGTACTCAAAGAAATTTGAAAATTTAGATGAGATCATATTCCAACACACAAAACTAAATTTCCTTGAAATTTTATCTGGAGAAGAAAAGAAGAAATCTGAACATGTAGGTCTAGAGACCTAGCTAAGAACCAGTGTGAATTTTAAATCATCAAAAACCAGGAGAAATGACTGCAAATCGTTTTAAAAGGCTCTCTGGTTTGCCATCACCTTTTTCACCCGTCCTAATGGCCATCACAAAAGATCACCAAGATTAACATTTTAAAATAAACACTCTCATAATAAYTTTAGAAAATGACTATTCCTAACAGTTCACACTTCAGCTGGGTTCTGTCTGATAAATATTTTTAAAAAAACAGGGGAGTTGAGTTTTGCAGGCCTTGGAGGATGCTCAGCTTTTTCCCCAGTCAGGGGAGCTGACTTGATCAATGACTGACTTGATCAAGTCTATAGAAATTGCTGATGAGAGCCAGATAMAGGTCAAGGCTCATTGAAGTAACCAGTTTAATTATCTTTATGTAGTATTGACTGTGATATTTATAATATATTCTGTGATTCCAGAAGAAGTAGGAAAATAAAGCATAATGATAAGAAATATGTAGGGATGAATGGCTTTCAGGAAATGGGTATAAACCTATTTGAAAGCATATAATGAATAAAGTTTCAATTATTTATTTTAGTTAAAGAAGGAGAATTGTTTTGGCCCATATGGCAATAAAAGAAGAGTAAAGAATTTAAAGCTGAAACCCAGGCTCTATGCACAGTGCAATTAAGGAAGAAGAGAGACAATAGGGGGGCTCCACTCACTGGTACTTTTCAAGCAAATATGTCAAAACCATGAGCAGAGCATTTTTGCTAAGAACTGACCAAAGACCAACTACTGAGCTAAATAAATAATTGTTCAGGTTTTTGAAAGATTTAACTGTCAAACAGCTTTCAAATTTCAAAATCAGTAAACAGTAACACACAGATGATAATCTATATTTATGATGTATGTTCAAACTCTGAAACAAGRTAATTACTACATAAGAAAATACTTTAAACTAAAAGAACAACAAAAAGACCCCTATGCTCACAGCATCTGAAAGCATCAAACAAAAAATGGAAATCAGCCAGAAAAAAGAAAAAAAAGGAAAATCCCAACCTGACAGACTGTACTATAACTTCTTTTTGCAGAATCAATCTGTTTTGGAAGATGCTTGATTCTGGCAGCTAGAAATTGTTTAATGAGCCTTTAGGAACATGGGATTTGACACATCAGAGAAGCTGATTTATTCATCTAATGTAATATTCTGACTACACCTGAGGTGGAAAAAGATGAAAAGAATGCCCAGGGCATTCTGCTRCAGCCCAAACTGCCAACAGGCTACCCAGAAAACCCCATCTATGTCATGAAAGAAAAAAAATAGGGAAAAAAAAAGTAAAGAAAAATGAGGGAAAAATAACAAAGTTTTGTGGGTTTTTCTGTTTTTTTGTTTTTTTGGTTTTTTTTCTGCAGGATCTCAATCTTTGAAATTAAATAAATATCTCCTAAGCTGAGAAATGCTGCCCTGGGTTCCAGAGCAAGGCTATTCCTTCCCAAGAGAGCTGCTGGGCTGCAAACCCAAGGGAGTAACAGACAAGCTTTTGGCTCAAAACAGAATTTCTCAGTTGTGTCCGACATTTCTGGTCTAAGCACCTTGTAAGGAGCAGGAGGAAATTGCTCCCCAATTCCCATAAGTAATCTGCACATGATCCAAACATACAATTTAATTACTTTTATAATCTTAGCCTGAATAAGTGCCAATGTTATAAAATCCTAAAATGGCCATTAAACTGTCCAGCCAGAACACTTGGTTTGACAACTCCCTATATTCATGAATAGGTTTGACAAAGTTCCCAAAGAGCACATAATTTCAGCAAAATTGTGGCATGACCAGCTCACATTGAAGCTACTTAGGCTCAATTACATCATAAAATGGAGCATCTGGACAGGCTTCAGTGTGTTCTCCCCAATCTCAACTGACAGACCTCTAACTTCTTAGGACAAACCACCCTGAAGTTTTTGGTATTGCTTACATAAACACTGTTATACTTTTAAGATCTTCTGACCTTTTGGAAAAAGTGTTACAATTCTTCAAAGGTTGTAAGATCCAAGTTAGATTTTAAATTCAAGCCCCAAACTCAGATAATGCAAACACATATACCTTTATGGCTTATATCTCTTAGTCTGATCATCATTTTCTTTAATATTAACAACCAAAAAATGGAGAAATGTTGAGGCTGAGGGACTGGGGAAGACAGGAGTAGAGAGGTCTCATTCAAGGGCTGATGACTGAATATTTACGAAATTAAATTTGTAGACATATTCCTCACAGAATCTGAAGCCAACAAATTCTTAATACCTTCTGATATGATCAGAGTGGAGAAAAAGTGGAGAAAAAGCACAGAGAAGCAAGAACAATAAAATGAAAGGCTCAAGACCTGTGGTGTGGATAACCCAATTTACCCAAATACAACAGACAAACCCTCTGTCAAAATCTGACAGTACTTGATGGAAGACAAGAGTACAATGGATTTACATGTGATTGTGACATTGTTTTGTCTCTGAAAGACAAAGACAGTTATTTATACCTCTCCTATGAAGAATTTTTAAGTCTCTAAAGGAATAAGAAATACTTACTACTAAGAAATACTACTATTATTTCTGTTATAATTTTTGTTTCTTAGATTGTAACATACAATATGCACAAACCTATTCAAAAGTTCCTGGATGAAATTTGCCTTATAAGATCATACCTTTGAAAAGTAGAGAGAAATGTTATTGCTGGTAACTGTTTCCTTCAGTTTTCTTGACACATGAATGCAGTGCCACAGCGCTAGAGGAATGGGAATGCCAGCTGAGCCTCAAATACATCAGTGTCACCTTGGAGTGTGTAAGGGCAGGAAGGGACACCAGGACACTGGCACAGCAGCACCTTGGGGTCACGCTGTTCTGGGCCACCAGTGAACCTCAATTACCAACTGCACACACACACACATCACTGACTGACCCCTGAGCCAGCCTGGCCTCTTGGGCTCCCTCTGTCTCAGCTCAGCTGCCAGCGCTGCTCTGACTCTTCTCCATCTGCTGCATCCGTAGGGGGAAGCACTGATGGCAGAAGGGGGTGGTGAACCAATGAACTGGGATCAGCTCCCTGAAGAAGTTTATTGTCCGGAAAAGAGGAAACCCTGTACTGTTATCTGCTAAGGTTTTCTCGCATGGCCTGGCCAGTCCAGGCTCAGGGATSCTGAGGRAAACGTGTGAGCCAATTTTAATTTGCCTCCTGGGAATTTAGATTTGACATAAAGCATGGAATAGCAAAGAACTCCAGCGCTGATATTTCAGCTGAAGAAAAACATAAATGCTGCCCCTTCTCTGAGCCCAACCACAGAACTTCCATAGGGAAAAACTGTAGAACATGAAGCTTTTTCCCATCTATTCACCTTGAGCTATAAAGGATGAAACTTCTTGCACCAGCTGCTGCACTGTGAATATTCAAGCCAGTTTTGAAAAGCCAGCTGCAGAGCATTTCAGTGAACCTGAAAAGCACAATGTCTCTTTAGAGCACATCATTAATGCAGCATAAATTAAGGTCTTTCCAATGAACAATGAATAACTGGACTGAACAGTGAGAGCACCCTGATAACAAGGTGAGATAACATTAATTGTCTTTTCCAGAAGATATTTTACATTATTTTACGTTTACCATGGGAACACTTGTAAGTCTGAGTTTTTGTGCGTGAATTTTTGAGTCCCTGCTAGAGACAAGAACAAGTCTGAAGAGAGAATGTCACTTCAGCCACATATAAAAGACTTGGGCAACTACTTGAAATTCCGCAGGGGTCAACAGACACTGCTGTTTAACATCTCTGTCAGTAACATGGACAGAGGGACTGAGCGTACCSTCAGCAAGTTTGCTGACAACAAGCTGTGTGGTATGGGTGACATGCTGGAAGAGGGGATTTCATCCAGAGGGACCTTGGCAGACTTGAGAGGTGGGCCCGTCGCAAAGTTACAGAGCACAACAAGGCAAATTGCAAGGTCTTGCACTTAGGTCACAAATACAGACTGGGCAGAGAATGGATTGCAAGTAAGCCTGAGGAGGAGCTGGGGGATGTTGCTTGATGAAAAGCTCAACATGACATGGCAACAGGTGTTGACAGCCCAGAAAACCAACCATATCCTGGGCTGCATCAGAAGCAGCATGACTAGTTGGCTGAGGATGGCGATTCTTTCCTGTACCCCACTCTACTGAGACCCCACATGGAGTACTGCATCCAGCTCTGGCCCTCAAGATGAGAAGGATGCAGACCGGTCGAAGCAAGTCTAGAAGAGGTACACAAAGATGATTTGAGGGAACACCCCTTCCATGAAGACAGGCTGAGAGGTTGGGTTGTTCAGTCTGGAGAAGAAAAGCCTCCAGGAAGGCCAGAGAGGGACTTTTTACAAAGGCATGTAATGACAGGACAAGGGTTCATGTCTCAGCTTCAAACTGAGAGAGAGGTCAAGGCCAGGCTGCAYGAGGCGTTGAGCAACCTTATCTAGTGGAAGGTGCCCCTGCCCATGGCAAGGGAGTTGGAACTAGATGAGCTTTAAGGACCCTTCCAACCCAAACCATTCTATGAGCCTTTGATTCTTCATGAGCAAGTAAATTTCCTGTACAGTGGCCCAAGGACTTAATCTCACCTAGAGCCTCCAGAGGGGTCTTCCCTGTATATCAGTGTCCTCTTGTCTTTTGGCCCCTGTTAAACGGGGACAGTGAAAAAAAAAATCAAATAAAATCATTACTAAAAGATTAAAAGATGAAATGATGAGAGTATCAATCAAACACATGAGTCCTGATCAAAAGATTTTCCTGGCTCAAAAGAAGGAGATTGTGGGCTGGAGAGCTACTGAGTCGGGCACACCACTTCCTTGGTGCCCCTAAAGTGAGGGCCAAGAAGCTCCTACTGAAAGCAGTTTCACCCTCAGATGAGTGCTCTTGGTAACACTTTGGAAAGATTACAAAAGACAGAAAGTATAGCAGAAAGCTGGTAGCTACTGAGTTTGGGATGGGGGGCTTTATTCTGTGTTTTTGTAAATTTTTAAAGGGTGTTCAACACATCATTTATAAAAATATAGGATCAAACTCTGCTTGCATTTACACTGTACAGCCTCAATGACCAATATGGATTGACACTAGTAACCACAAACAGAACTTAAACATGTCTTTTACTTTCTATTTCCATTCTACAAAAGAAATTATTCCTTACAGTAGAAGACCACAGTAGGCAGGTTTCCCTGTCTATTTATTTCTTTTGACATCCTTTGAAATCTTCTCCCAATAAATTTTTATTGACTACGTGTATTAACTGATATTTGCTACAGATGAACAAGAGAGAACCTGACATGAAATCCATAGCAGTCAGCTACACAGACCATGAGGTGAGATTCCTGACATATCCGTTGACTGGACTGAATATGTCAACTGTGAAAAATGGCTGCTACCATTTGAAAATGCAGATGACTGTTCTCCACTTCTAGAATTATATCCTGCAGTCACCAGTATATTTTGAAAAGGCAGAACTGAGATGAAGCTAGAGTAAATTATAAAGAAATCAAGCTATATTCCAGTGGCCAAATGTTTTATAAAGAATTTTCCTGATTTGAAATATTTATTAAAAATACATCTTCTGATATATATACCCACAGAAAAAACAAAACAAAACAAAAAAAAAGACACCTCATAAAAGAAACAAATACCCTTAAATAAAATACTAAGGCAACATTTAAAAGATAACATTTTAACTGTATCTTAAAACATGAGATATAAACAAGCCAGATATTTTCCCCATCCAAAAACAACATTTTTCATCTTGACTTGCACACCTAAAAGTCCTTCAACAGATCTCAGCTCCTATACTTGACTCTTTAATCATCATCTCTGAAGTCCTCATCTCCAGAATTTGTGCCAAATACAGAACTGACACTTTTCTTTCTACCTTTGAGTCTCTTCTAAAACAGAAAACCTTTTTATTTCTGTTCTAACACCACCGTTATTCTCATCTTCAACTCCACTTCCAAATACTTTCTTGCTTTTAACATTTGTCAGTGGTTTTAAATTCAGTTCCTAATAAGGTCCTTYTGCTGTCCTCTCAGCTAGAATCACTCTTTGGTCATCCACCTAAAGTTTCACAGGAAGTTGCCTCTTTCAATTCATCTATCTCAATACCAGAAAAAAAGAGATTTTCCCCTTTCTAGAAAAACCTGAACTTTGTCTACAATCATCCTGTATCATATCATAGACTGAACCTGAATCCTACACTCCTTTAAAGTCTCAGATAACCCAGAATAAAAGCCAACTACAGGCTTCTTAATGCAAAGGGCAAGGCTTCAGATTGCAAAATTTGATTCAAATGTACTGAAACAGTTTTAGTGAAAATAAATGCCTAACCCAACCTAAACAGTATTCTGACTACTCACCAAATGTCAGATTTTGTGTTATATCCCTGGTGCTTCAGTACTTCTGGACTCATGTAATATGGTGTCCCAGTAAAAGTAGTTGCAAGATCACATGAACCCATCAAAAGACAAGAAACTCCAAAGTCTCCTAAAAATATCAGTAGAAACAATAATCTATTAATTTAAATGTATATCTATTCACAGAAACTTTTTTTTGTTTATTGTTAGGCATGATAAAATGACTGCACATACAGAAAATCTTGCCAGTATTTGAAATAATGGGAAAAACAATTCTTAAAAATAAAAACACCTCAAATGCATAACATCACAGAAAAATGTGGGTTTGAAGAGGCCTTACAAGGTCATCTGATTCAAATCCCTGGCTCAAAGCAACTTTCATGAGACTGCTCAGGTCCAGGCCCAGCCAAGCCTGAAGCATCCTCAAGGCTAGAGATTTCAATGCCTCTCTTGTGTCTGGTTGTCAAATAAATGCTTGACCACAAATCAAACGGCTATTTCAGACATGATTTTCTTTAAATCTCTTTATTGACAAAATGTCTACTGAACTGTTCTATCCCAGGAAAATATATCTTTTATTAGTATGGAAATCTCACCAATTTTAAGAAGATTATCTTTCAAAAATATATTCTTGGCTTTCAAATCCCTGTGAAGTATCCATCTGGAATAGAAAAGGAAATTCAGCCTCATCCAACTGGAAGCATTCAGAGTCACAGATTAAGTATTTCAGGTATTAACTTCAGCCCTTTCCAGAAAGGCCAGCCCAGCACTGCTACAACTCTGCAAGTGACAATGCACGGATGATGGCATTAAGGAACTTCACATGCACACAGAGGTGCATTCACAGGCACCCACAGGGTGAGAGCTGAAATAGGATAATAAAAATGTACCTGGAGATCCCAGCTAAAAAATACAGATACAGACATAGTATGAGCTGCAGAGGAAGGGAAAAAGGCAAGTCTGCCTATCTGACTCGAGTGAAAAGCATTACATCTTATTTTCTGCCCGGAGAATAAGATGTCTCACAAGAGAATAAGGGATGAGAAAAACAGCAATTAGAGCTCCTCAAAGCTAAGAAACACTCCTTCAGAGCAAAAGTATTACTTCAAAGACAAATATCTATATAGCCTAAGCTAGTAGTTCAATTTTTTACAGTGACAGTGTGGAACTTGAAAGAACTTTTTACAAAGATAAAAAGGAAAATAAAAAGAACAATTAGCTTTTACAGACTTATTTTTCCATCAAAGTTTGAAATAACATCATAAGCTACACACGATGTGAGAATATACAGAATCTTCTTAACTTCTATAAATCTTACATGTGTGACAGTAATTTTGCAGCCCCTTAGGAAAAAAATATCCCTGCAGTATACACAACATATTCTCAATTAATTCTTGCTAATAACGTATCCAAGAGCATTGTTCCCTATAACCTCAACTAAATTAGAATTCATCCACTTTTGAAACTATTGCTAACACACCGGATTAGTCATCAGCTCTGCTCAGGAGGAGGTTAGAATTGTGTTTGGCTACAGAAACGGTATTTGTTAATACAAATACACTAGTCATTCAGCCATTTAAAACATGTAAAGAAAGAAACTGATGCTTTAGGATTCTTGAGATGTGGACAAGAAGAACAAATATAATAATTGATTTTAATTTTTTTAGCAATTTTCATTTATTATCTCAAATTTTAATGAGTGTCTTACACGCTGATATAATGAAATTATTTCCAAAATAGTTTTATATTAAGATCAGAAAATACGCATTTTACAGCACAATTTAAACACACAATTTAATCCACAACTCATTTGAAAATAATTTTTGCAAGAAGAGAAAAAAATATTAAATTCTATATACTCAGTTCACAAATGGGGAAAAAATGAAAATAATACTAGAATTCATTGCAGCATGTACACAGACTGGGCAATAAAAAGAAACGTTTCTGGTTTTATGGGTCAATGAAAAGAGTTCTTTATGTTTCTTACAGGAATTATTTCACTTTTGTTTCCTTTCAATTTTTTTTTGTTCTGAAAGTAATACCTGTAGAAAAAGGTTTGCACATTCAGAAAAATGAAAGTTTTATTCAGTATGCCTCCACCCATGTTTATAAATTACTATCAATAATTTGTTCTCTATTTGACTACTTCCATGAGCAATACACATATACTCCTCACACATTACATCAGTAAGGAAATTAAACTGATATTTGTTATTCTTTTGTAAGTATGTATATGTATATATAAATAGACACATAGTTTTATAGACATCTTGCTGTTTTTATTTAGATTCAGAAAGGGCTTTCCTTATCATTGATCACACAGATGCTTTGAAATAACTTGCTTGCACTGAGTTAAATTTTCTTTGTGCATTGTTGCTGAGCATTAGTAGGTTTTAACCTTCTTTTAATAGTAGTCTTTTTTAGGAATATAACAACAGAACTTTTGAACCTAAAAGTTTCCTGAATATCTTTTATTTTAGTAACAGGTGATTTGAAATATAAAAATGATCCAGAAAGCTTTCAGTAGCATATTATTTGAAAATGAGATTAAAAGAAGGTGTTTGGGTCACATTAGTTTGAATTACAATATAATGCTAATCTTGCAACATATCAAAGAAAATGTTATGCACTTTATTTGCATTACCAGTAAGTATAAACTGTTTTCATATATTAATACAAGAAATAAATATTTGGGTTGATTTTTTGGAGCAGAATAAGGTGCATTACAAGTCACAGTAATGCACCTTATTCTGCCATGATATTTTAGAAGATAAGCAAGGTACAAGCTGAAACCTTAACTGAAAAGAATACTTTAGTGCTAGTATAAAATTAATGTCAAGCCTGCACTGTAAATCCAGTTAAAAAAAGAGAGCAACTTTGTTATTGTAGGAAAAGATTGACCTATAAAAACAACATGAATTAACTGATCCCCAGCAAACTTTACTTGATGGACAGTGAAGTGACTAATGAGTGGTTATTTTGGGTAGAAATTAATACTTGAAGAGTGCTTCAAATTTGGGCTGTAAACATATCCATATCTATGTTCTATAGAGTACCTGCTTGCTGTCTCATTGTCATTGTCATAAAAGAACAGCACAAGCCCTGAGGAGTGGGCARTCTCCTGGAATGAAGCTTTGCTGCAACAGAACCAACTGCAAGTGAAGCTGAAGGAAGCTGAAGTATTTTACTGCTGTGAAATCATCAGGAATTAATTTCTCTTTCCTCTGTCAGATCTCTATAGAGGAGTAAGAGGTTCTGTGTATGTCTGAATCCTGTATTATCTACTGTTTGCATAAAGAATA